TAAACAGCTCACATTCCTGCATCCCTTTGAAGTGCTAACTGCTAGATACTAGAGGCTGGTACAAAGGAGCACACTAATTAATAGGAAAGCTCTTACATATTGCTAATAAGAATGTTTTGTTCATCTCATGGTAGCATCCATCTCTGGGCCTGTATTTTCAGGCAGCCATAACTGCCCTATACACAGAACTGGTAATGGATCTCAACACTGATTTATGACTATAATAAAGAATTTGATATGATATAGCTAACTCATTAGCCTTAGCAATTGGACAGTGGAGAATAGTTCCTGGTTTGCTGCTGAGAATGGTAGCCAGGAATTGGTACTTACTGAAATACTTTAATAGGAGTAGTAGAGTGGCTTTGATTATGGCTCTGCATGCCTGGTAACAGCATTAGTATTGCTTAACAATATTAGATAACAATACTATTGAGCCTTGAATTTTTCATTTCTGTATCTCTAAAATGAGAGATTCAACACCAGCTTCTCTTATCAGTCCCTGGTACAATGGCCTCTCAGTGTAAGGTGCCCTGCTACTCTTTTAAAAAGCATGGCTATGGATCAGATTGTCAATTAACATCAAGAGTCTTCTGGTTCTTTATTTACAGTGATCCAATCCTGACAAATCCTGGCATAAACCCAACCCACTAAACAGGGTTGTTGTTATAAGGAAAATAGGAGAACAAAGAGTGCTGGATAAGTTCACCGCCTTGAGTTACTTGTTAAAATAATAAAAGTAGGGCATAAACTAAATAAAGGAGCAAGATCAGCCCTATAGTTGGTAGAGAAAGGTTTATGGTGTCTTACGAGAGAGTGCTGGTTATTTCAGGTCAGGCATTAAGTCTTAATTGTCTAACAACAGCATGGCACTGCAGAATATGGCTAGTGTTCAAACCTTTGTGAAGTTCTTCTGTACATTGCAACTACCTTTGGAAGGGCAGAATTATATGAAAAGATCTCATAATGATCTGTAGTAAAATGTATAACCTAATGTGATTTTCAGTTGTGTCTCTATCTTAAGCATGGGCTTATTGTATTATCACTTAAAATGTAAATTAATGTGCAAAATGAAATGTTTAATTATCTGACCTTAGTGATATTACAGAGTTTGTTCTATGATATTTAATGCAAAATAAATTATGTTTTTGTTCAGGTCGTGAATACGTAATCCCGTCTTTGGCTCATCGATTTATAGCAGAGATGGTGGATTTCTTTATTCTTTTCTTTATCAAGGCATCAATAGTTTTGAGTATTATGCACTTAAGTGGAATAAAGTAAGTTGCACAATACATAATCTATTTCATCAGTTTCATTATATCTGCTGCTTGCTATGTTATATATTTAGTTCTAAGTACAGTAAATTATTCCATTTCAAACTGCAGACATGGATCATATGAAATCAGTATATATTTCCTTCTTAAAGAATGTTAAAAGTAAAGGGTGTTTTCATGGCAGCTTTAGCTATTTGTTTCCTGTGTTCAAACAGGTTAGAATAATTTTTTTTAAAAATTCTTGTGTCCATGTTTCTATCTGTTCTTCTTTTTTGGCAGTGATGCTATATAGATGTTTTGTTGGGGTGACAATTGTCATGGGTCCCACTGATAAATTTCCCCGCTTCTGTACTTTCTCCAAAGAAAATACCACAAAAAATATGGACTTCCTCTTATCTAAGCTGCAAAGGAAAATTAGCAGAAGTCTGTTAATTTCACCCAATCTAAAAAGCAGAAGGGCCTACCAGTAACCTAGTTCACTTTAAAAAGAGAGTCAAGTCTTTCTTCACGCCATCAGTAAACCTACTAAAAGAAAAAAATGTACAGCCAGTATTTCACCAGTTCACCTCAGAGAGGGGAAGATGCCATCGATTCATTTTTCCACTGTGAAAAGGTCCCTTCAGAAGGGAGCAGGCAGCCCAGCAGCTGAAGATAAAATGGCCTTAAAGAACAGGAACCAGTGACCAGAGGAGAAGACATTTTTGCCACAGTAGCACACACCTTAGACATTGGATCAGAAACATTTGCTAGCAGCCAAATGAAATAAAGCAGCCATGTTAAGCCACCATTTCTGCCATCTAAAATAAAAAAAACACTATCTTTAATGCAGATCAATAAAACATGGGCAAAAGTTAAACACGTGTGCTGAGGATGGGTTGAGGATGGTGTCATATGTTTCTGTCCTCAAGAAAAAATTTGAGCTATTATGCTAGAGCAAGCAAAATGTATAAAAGAGCTCTCAGATGCCACCTTCTTTGACAATATGTTTTATTATTAGTGCTTCCAAATTTAAAATACATATCTTTTGTACTCTGAATATTCTTCTGAAACAAAAAAGTCCACTAAATAAAAATATTTCCATTTGCAGTTTATATTGCCTCTAAACTATACATAGAATAGTATTGATTATTCATAGTATTACTTATTGTATTATACTTTTGATGCAGGGATATCTCAAAGTTTGCTATGCACTACATTATAGAAGAAATAGATGATGAAACTTCCATGGAAGACTTGCAAAAGATGATGATAGTGGCCCTTATCTACAGATTGCTGGTCTGCATCTATGAGGTATACAAATTTTACTTGTACAAACAATATAATATCTATTTTGGAGACTATTATCTTCGGTCTAATTTAACCAGTGACCCATATGCTTTATGAACTTAATTTTAATGTAATTTTTAGTTAGGTTAATGAGATTATATTAATCTAATATTCAGAATATTTATAAAAGCCATTGACATCCAATACTGCCAACTGTACTGGCAACCACGCGGAGGAGAGCCTTCTTGGTGGCAGCTCCGACCCTATGGAACGATCTCCCCGTGGAGATTCGTACTCTCACCTCCCTCCAGACCTTCCGCACAGCCCTCAGAATCTGACTATCCCGTTAGGCCTGGGGTTAAAGATTNAGATGAAGGGAGCAGCTAAGGAACAAGGGTCGACTTGGGAGTAAAGGCACAGGTGGACGGTGAATGGCCGCTCCCAGAGGAAATAAAAAAGGAGCGACAGGGGAATGGAGTTTGCAGGAGACAATTCCCTCATTTCTGCATTCTTGCCAAGTGTTGCGGTGTCTGAAAGATATCGGCCTGGCCTGATCAATTGTGAACTATCTCGAAAGACTGTGGGAGAGGAAAGACTCTGCGGGAGAGGAATTGACTATCAATTAAATAAAAGGGTTTTATCGGGACGAGGACTCAGCTTCGTGCTGCTGGGGCAGCCTTGGTCAGAACAGGAAGGGATCTTTATCCAGAGATCCAATGTGAGTTACCCCTGATCATTTCTCGTCTTGTTCCACCCCAGGCGCTGCTGCGGCGTCTCCTGGCCTCCCTGTCTTTGCCCAGCTGGGGCCGGGCCGAGCTGGTGGTCTCCTTGATGCTGGAGCAGCCGAACGAAGGCTGGGAGCTCTCAGACATCGTGGAAGCCGTCAAGGCCTCCCCGAACCGCGACTTCATCAAACGCTTGCTCAGCTGGGAGTGCGCCGTCTGCAGCCTGGCTTTGCCGCGGAACAAGGTACCAACGTGCTGCGCCTTTCTTCCATAGTGGGTGTCGACTCATAAATTTGCCATGGTGAGCATAGGGGTGCACCTCATTGGGAAATGTGATTTATGACACAGACTGAGCAGAGCGGGTAAAGTTCAGCTATAATTCAAATGAGGCTCAGATCTGACTGCAACAAGATCTTGCCAAGTGATGCTTCTAATAAACAGTGGTTTTCCTTTGAAAATTGGCTCAATACTCATGAATCAATTAGGGCATCTTTCGGAAACCTGACAGCGGGGCTGGTTGACTGTGTCCAACCCGTCATTAGGTTTTGGTCGCCACAACGTAAGAAAAGAGGTTCAGACTCTAGAACAGTGATGGTGAACCCTTTTCTTATGACGTGCCAAAATTGCGCTATCACGCACGCATGCCCACTCCATCTCCCCGCCCACCTGTGCATTTGCGCGTGACCCCTCCCCAGGCTCCGAAGTCTTTCCTGTAGCCTTGGGAGAGACAAAACGCCTCCCCACCGCAGCCTTCCAGAAGGGCGGAAAATCAGATGGCCGGCGCACATGACCTGACAGCTGGCATGCCACCAAATATGGCTCCACGTGCCACCTGTGGCACACGCGCCATATATTCGCCATAACGGCTATAGAAAGAGTGCAGAGAAGACAACAAAGAGGATTAGGGGACTGGAGACTAAAACATAGGAAGAACGGTTGCAGGAACTGGGGATGTCTAGTTTGATGAAAAGAAGGACTAGGGGAGACATGATAGTAGCCTTCCAATATCTCACAAAGAAGAGGGAGTCAAGCTATTCTCCAAAGCACCCGAGGGTAGAACAAGAAGCAATGGGTGGAAACTAATCCAGGAGAG